CTAACAACCTCTGTTGCAGGAGGAGAGCTCTCAGGCCAAGAGGTCTCCATCCTCTCCGCAGGGTGGGCCCAAGAAGAGGTCAGCGTTTGGGGACATCACCAATGTGAGTGCTTCTGCAGTGAGAGTGGCGTTTGTGCCGACTGTGAGCCCCCCCGTGGGAGTGGAGCTGGGCATCCCCACCAGCACCCAGAGTTGGGGGGGTGTTCCATGCCCTCTCAGCAGGAGGAGAGGTCTGTGCACCCATCTCTATACCCCCATTCTGACCCAAACAGGCTCACAAGAACCAGGTGGTGGCAGGAAAGAAGGAAGCTGTGAAAGTGGCACCACACAAGGCACAGAAGGCCCATGCCGCCCTAGGGGTGGCTAAGAACAATGAGATCAACCTGAAAAAGTGAGTAGCCAGGAGAGATGTGGACAGGGACTAGGGTGGGGGGAATGCTGCAGGGCTAGCACCTGCAAACCTGTCCCACAGGGAAAAACAAGCAGTGGTGGAGGCTTCCTTTGGGTGAGGGAGACCATGAGCCAGATGGAAAGGGCAGACAGTAGATAAGATGACCTGAAGTTGTGCCAGTGGAGGTTTAGGTTGGATATTGGGGAAAACTTCTTCACTAAAAGGGTTGACAAGCATTGGAACAGGTTGCCCAGGAGAGTGGTGGTGTCACCATCCCGTGAGGTCTTTAAAAGATGTGGCCCTTGGGGACACGGTTTACTGGTGGACCTGGAAGTGCTGGGTTAACAGTTGGACTCAATGATCTTAAAGGTCTTTTCTAACCTAAATGACTCTGAGAGTCACAGTGGGGATGTTTTAGGGGTGGGGTGGTTTAGCCCCTTCCTGAAGCAGCAGTGATTTACACACTCCTCCCACCAATGATTTACACTCCTGTCCTTTCTAGGTCAATGAAGAAAACTCCCCCAACAGAGGCTCCTGCAGAGCCCAAAGAGGATCCTGTGCCCAAGGAGCTGGTGCCTGTGCAGGTACAGAATCCCTCTGAGGAGAGAGCTGCAGCCTGGCCCACATTCCCAACCTGACAGTGCTGATCTGTGGCTGCCACTGGTGATACCTGGGCACCAGGCAGTGCTTGGGACCTCAGGGTACTCGTGCCAGTGTGATGGGAAGCTGGGAAGGGGTGTAAACTTCCCAACCTTCTTCCTTCAGAAGATCTCCCATGGGAAAGAACAGGGTGGTGAGGGCAGGGGGGAACGTGGGTGCCAAGGGGCAGCAGCCTCGCTCTGAAGGGGTAACCAGCACCCACAGAGCTTGGGGTCTCCTTCATCCCAGCAGGTACCAGCAGTGGAGGACATAGACAAGGAGCAGCTGGGTGACCCCTATGCCAATGCAGAGTATGCCAAGGAGATCTTTGAATACATGCGGGGAAGAGAGGTGGGTGACACCTGGCCAGGGCTTGGCAGTCCTGTCTGAGGAAGGGGTGACTGTGTGGGCAGGGCCACCCGCTGCCCAGAGGCTCTGAGCACCTGGCAGAGGGCTGCATGGGGTGGGATAAGGCTCATTTGAGGGTGATGGTGTCCAATGAGTCCCTGACAGCTGGTGCCTTGGCAGGAGAAATTCTTGCTCCCTGACTACATGGAGAAGCAGCCAGACATCAGCGGGGACATGCGTGCCATCCTGGTGGACTGGATGGTGGAGGTGCAGGTATGTGGGTGTGGGGAGGGGGCATGGCCTCCTGCAGTACATGCTCCACCCTCCTCTGGTGTGTGTGGCCTCAATATTCTGGCAGAGGCTCCTGCAGTGTCCCCAGTCCAAAGCCGACCTTCCCCCTCCCCAGGCTGTCGACGGGCCTGCACCATTCCCTCCAAGCCCGGCCCCGTGGGCACCTCTGGCTGCTGTGAGGGAACCTGGGGGGGCTAGGCAGGGCTAGCTTCTGCCTGACACCCTCTCCTGCTCCCCCACCCGTATCTGTACAGGAGAACTTTGAGCTGAATCATGAGACACTGTACCTGGCTGTGAAGCTGGTGGACCACTACCTGGCAGAGGTGGTGAGCATGAGGGACAAGCTGCAGCTTATCGGCTCCACTGCCATCCTCATCGCCTCCAAATTTGAGGTGACTCCTTGTGCTTTGTCTTGGGGTGCTGGGGCAGAGGGGGCTGTGCCTCTTTGCTCCCCATGGGTTTTTGGAGAAGGCCAGATCTCTGCAGTGGCAGGCCAGTGCCCCGAGTTGCTGGACTGGCGTGTCTGTCCTCGGGTTAGCACTTCCTCTCCCAGGGGCTGCAAATCCAGCCCCCGTGGGCTGGGTCCTGACTGCTGGTGTCACTGGAGACCTGGTGCTCCTCTGCTCTGCAGAGACCACCAGGGCACCCAAGTTCACCTCATGCAAGCCAGGCTTGGAGCTAAAGAGCCAAGGGCTGGGGCAGTGCAGGCAGTGCACAGGCCCCACTGGATGTTATGTTAATGTCCTTTGTCCTTGGTCATTATGTTAATGACCTTTCAGGGTCTTGCAGGACACGAGCCCTTACAGGGCCTGCGGTCTGGTAGGATTTCCTGAATGTTGCCAGGATGAGCCCCTGTCAGGGTGCTGAGCAGTTGTGCCCTGGCAGGAGCGGTGCCCACCATGTGTGGATGACTTCCTCTACATCTGTGACGACGCCTACAAGCGGGAAGAGCTCATTGCCATGGAGATGAGCATCCTCAACACCCTCAACTTCGACATCAACATCCCCGTCGCATACCGCTTCCTCCGGCGCTTTGCCAAGGTGGGTGCTGCAGGAGAGTGGGCTGGTGTTGAGGTGTCTTCAGGGGCAATCCCTGGGGTGGTGATGTGTGTCCCCGGGGCCCTGGGAGGCATCAAAGAGGGTTTGGCCAGGCTCCCCCAACAGGGCTGAGGGTGCTAGTCTGTGGCAGGCTGGTCTTTTGCTGACCGTACTTCCCAGTAGGAAGGATGTCATTGTCAACAGACAGCACATCAGCCAGATTCCCCCGCCCCACCTCTGGTTTTAAATCACACGTGAGGTGGCCAACCACCAGAGGAATGAAGAGGGTGATATATTCACTCAAAGTGCAAGACAAATTGAAGATGGGAGTGAACTGGCCGAGGAACCAGGCGACCAGTCCAATTCCAGTTGTGTAGCCATGACCACAAACTGGTGCCCTAATTATGGATATTTTCCTCCCTCTCCTCCTGGCCATATTGATGTCCCACCATTGCTGGGGGTTCTGCCCACAATGGGCAGCTGGGGGGGTCCTTCCAGTAACTGGAAATCCTGTGTAGTATATTCACTGTGTAGGTAAGCTCCACCCCCAAAACCACCGCAGGGAGAGCCAGCTGTTGTGCTGTTAACTTGGAGGTGGGACACCTGATGTTAATGCTGAAGGTGGGGGCACCTGGTGGTGATCTCCTAACTGGTTCCCACCCAACACTGGCCAGACCCTGGGTGAAGACCTATCAGGAAGGTCTCTACTGCCTGGTTGTGGACATCACCCATATGCCCACCCTCATTCAAGGCTGGGGGTGTAAACCCCAGCACTGCAGCCGGGTGTGTGTGGTCTGTGCCCCAGGGGCAGCACTCCAGAGCCCACAGAGGTTGGGTTGGGAGGGTGCTGTTCTGAAGGCTGAGCTGTCCTGCCCGCCTGGCTGCAGTGTGCCCGTGCCAGCATGGAGACGCTGACGCTGGCCCGCTTCCTCTGCGAGATGACCCTGCAGGAGTACGACTACGCCCGGGAGAGCCCCTCCAGGCTGGCTGCCAGCTGCCTGCTGCTCGCACTCACCATGAAGAACCTCGGCGGCTGGGTAAGCGCCTGCCCAACCTTCTGTACCCCCCTGGCATCACAGGGGCACAGGAGCGGGCGGGCTGGCTGCGGGGGTGATGCTCTGGGGCTATGCTCGGTTTTGGGTGGCTGGAGAGGGAAGATGGTGGCTGTACTGTCACTGAAAGGATTTGTCTCTGCCCTGCTATCCCCGTGCAGACCCCCACGCTGGAGTACTACAGCGGGTACCGCTCCCAGGACCTGCACCCCCTGGTGAAGAGACTGAACTTCCTGCTCACGTACCAGCCCCGTGACAAGCTGAAGGCTGTGCGCACCAAGTACTCCCACAGGTGAGTGGCACGGGGCTCTGCCTCGGGCCCGACCCCTCCGCAGAGGACAGCACCACCAGCGTGCACTCCTGGGGGCTGGGGGTCCTGGTGGATGGGTGTGAGGGCCGTGGCTGAGCTCTAAGCCAGTGTGGTTCCTTCTAGGGTCTTCTTTGAGGTTGCCAAAGTCACCCCCATGGACATGCTCAAGCTGGAGGAGAAACTGAAGAGCTGTTAGCCCTGTCTCTGTAAATAGCCTGTAAATAGCTGGGTGCTCTCTGTCAGGGGAGCTCCATGTACATAAATAGCAATTTTAACTGAAGGGGAGGAAAAAAAAAAAGTGTTGTGGAGTTGTCAATAAAACGTTGTTTGTCTTAGGTGCTGGTGGTGGCTGCTGGGACAGGGGCAGGGGATGGTGGTGGAGACCATGCTGAGCCCCTGAGCTGCAGTCCCCCTCGCAGAGAGTGAGAGCAGGGCAGGGGGGTTGAGGGGTGGGGCGCAGGAATGGGTGAG